AGTCTTTAGTAGTCACCAAATGTACATGTTTAATGGAATATTGTCGTATTACATTGCTCAAACAATTGAAATAAAACAATGCAGATTTGTATTAACATGTGTATTGTCTTTTGCGATGGACTTCATATGCATGGTATTTTTCTCTCATCTGAAAATCATCTTCGTTTCAAGTTAACATACTCTTTTGTATTGTTAGTGGCAATGACCGAACATATCTTTATAGACCGAGTATTAACAAATTTCAAATTGTTGTTACGGGATCTCTCTCCCGCTTTTAATTATTACTTTATCTATTTTACGCTCTACATTTTATTGTTGTTTACGTGCTTGGTAATTAGAGAAAACAATACAATTTACAGCTTAACATTTTGAAAACATTCTGATCTAATCAATATAGAAAATTAAAAGTTAAAGACCGAATTATTTGCAATTATGCGATGTGAAAGATGTAAATGCGTACATATTAAAAGTTATCATGACATTAAAGTTAACGCTTTATTTATGCATGAAAACTTCCATTTTGAATTGCATTTATAAAGGCATTAAATTAAAGTTAAAGTGTTGCATGTTCAGCACGCAATAAATATCGGATTGCAGGGGGAGGGGGGGGGCTAATTATCGCATGAGAGACTAGGCGAAATTTAATACATGCAAATTTAGTACAAACATTTTCGTCCTTTATAGGACGCTCAAAATCGCATCTGAACTTTATTGTACTCGTGTTTTTAGTCCTAGGATCTCACTTTGGTTATCGATTGCGGTCTAACAAGGACACTATATCTGTGTTTGTATTTTCTTCCTCGTTCCGCCTATCATACAACTTATTACGGTATGTTTAAACATATTGTAGAACTCTTTCAAATGGTAAAAAATCTTTTAGAAAATATATCAAGTACAGTGGCGACCGTAGCGACAAGTAGTCATGTGTAAATTTTTGAATGGTTGTCGAGGCAGACTTATTAACATAAAAATAATCATTGTAATAGTTTAATGTACGTGTTGTTTTAATATTTCTATAAACCAGTTCAGAGGCCTTATACTTTTACTAACATTGAATAGTACGAAAGTGAATTATTCGGACGAAAGTGAATGTCAATATAAATGATATTTATGTTTTTACAATGACCAAATAAATGAATCGTTTTCGTTGTTATTCATGTTATCATTTAATAACAGCCTTTTGAAATTATCAGATATATCTAAAAGTGACAGACGTTCATTTTATCGTTGTTTAAATATGAATTTATTTCAAAATATTAACATTTATAATTTTGACGGACATTTATTATCAATGATGTAAATGACTATCACAAAATATAAAAGAAAATCCTATCCTTGTCAATCAAGCTGACAGGGGTCTTACAGATAAGCCAGTCGGCGATCGTTATCAGTTCCACATTAACATGCCTGCAAAATCCGCAATTTTCCTTAGACAAACTTTTTGTATAAGACAATGGTGCAGGCTTTTTATATTGACTATTTTGATTTTTTGTCAATTTAAAGCTATTAAATCAGTATATCAAAATTACCAATTATACTAAAATATTGTCAGATGGAGTCATTTTGTTTCATTTATCAGTAACTTTGTATCTATGAAGATAATAAGTGTTAAAGCAGGTACAAAAAGCAGTTACATATATATTATTTACATGTAATCTACATCTCTGACGAAAGTTAAAATAGAGAGAAATAAAGAATCCCTTTAGTACATACAAAACACAAAATTGAAAATGTTGTAGGCTCGGTTTGATTCAGCCTGTTAATGGATGGTAATGGAATGTACAAATAACCTTCCACGCCCACTACCATGGGCCTAAGAAGTATTCAACATTTAATATGACCTGGCAAACTTTGGAATTTTGAAACATTCGCAGATGTTTTCATATGGCGGTATTCATGGAACCTTCAATATCACACGTTAGTGCCATTCCATGAAATGCGGCATATGGTCCCAAAGTAAAAAAGGCGTTTGCCCTGATCACGGTTCTAATTTAAAACCAAAGTCTCGCCTTCTGGTGTATGCGAAACTAATTTGAAGTGAATAATATTGCGTTTTATCACAACATATCTAATGTACAAATATACGTATAATCATATATAATACTATAAAGTTATGCAAGGACAATTTTCTCATTCTCATTTTCCCTTAAAAGATTGTAAAGGATGCTTAATTTATATAATTTTACTATTTATATGTTCCGCTACTTTTATTTTAACTATCTGTGAATTTGTAAACTAAAATGATAATTTGCCTTGAAGTCAAGGAGAAATATTTCAAGATCTCTTCCAAATGTAAATACCATAATACATTGAACTATCCAAGAAAAAGATTAGAATTAAATATTTACTGACCGTGTCACGTGAATCAGTGGGCGAAGCAATCATTTCGCTTGTGTATTTCTTTCTTTTTTCTTTAAGTAAACTTTAAAAAATAACTGTACACTATTATGTTCTACAAATTTAATGAAACACATTTAATCCACATACCATACGCTGTGTTTAGAGATGACTAAACACTTATCTATCATCAATCAGAAATCCTATGGAAACTTATTTGCATAAACGACACACAGCAACTCGAAATGACATAGCGATATTGCGAAGCAACACCCGACAATCGCAAATTACGGCGACAACGTCAAGCGACAATGTCGCGATATCCACTTTAAAATGTCGCCTATAAATGCACGATATATTGCGATGTCACTTCGGTTTGTCGAGTGTTATATCGTATTGTCGCTATGTCAATTCGCATCGTCGTGATGTCACTTCGCGTTGTTGTTTGTCGCCCCTGAAAATGCGACGGCGACATTATCAAACGAAACGACGCTCGACAATGCGAAACGACATATTCCTAATGTCATATCATATGTCACGTGTCAGGGATTAGTTTGAGGGTCGACACGCAAAATATCAAGTATAGCATTGGAATAGAATTTTATTTTGATATTGCAACTTATAGGCATATATAATAACCTACAGCAACTATCATTCTTATAAAACATGCGAAATGAACATTCACTGTAAAAATAATTGTTCGTGCTTACGTAAATATCGAGGTATTTTAATATTGGTTATTATATATTATACAATTATTGACTAGTGAGCCATTGAATATGATGTGATATTCACCGGCAGATATATAATAACCTACAGTAACTACCATTCTAATAAAACATGCGAAATGAACATTCACTGTAAAAATAAATGTTCGTACTTACGTAAATATCGACGTATTTTAATATTGGTTATTATATATTATACAATTATTGACTAGTGAGCCATTGAATATGATGTGATATTCACCGGCAGAGGACATATTGACCGAGGCGATAGCCGAGGTCAGTATGACTTTCTGCCGGTGAATATCACATCTCTTGTCAATAATTGTTTTATTATATGAATAGGGTAAGAATTTTTAAAAAATCACGAAAAAGTACATCGTTATATACATGCAAAAATTTTGCCTCGTTGAAGCGCCGGAAAAAGACGCACGTGTTAGGCGTGCAAAGACTACGCTACGCTGTGCATACAAAAGTAATTCAAGTTTATACTCATCAATACGGTTTAGCCTTTAAGTATAACAATAAAGTAATGATATTTCAATCGAGAAATATGCCATGAAGAACAAACCGCAACAATTATTTTTTAATTTACACACGTAATTAACAGTCTACGGTGTATGGTCATTGAATATGAGACTCAATTTATTTTTAGACTTGGAAAATCCAATTCAGCCAGTTAATATGATACTACACCCAGTGAATATGATTTTATAAAAAGTTCTGTTGACTACAGTTTGGACCAATAAGATTGCAGCTATTTTTAGATAATATAATAAATTACATTATTGTTAAGTATATACACAAAAAACTACAACTATTTCATCATTAGTATTCTAATACTTAGGAGTAATCTTCGTTTCACAGTGGATATTTGCTAAAGAAAGTTCAGTAAATGCGTAACATTTAAAAATTGTGTATAAATATTAGTGTATCATAAATATAATTATCTCCCAATGTTCAGAGCAAATATATATTTCAAGATATCTGAGCAGACACAAGTAACATTATGCTCATCCAAGTGTAGATGGGCAATGTACATGTTGATTTGAAAATAACGTTTTACTTGAATCACTGTGATAAAATAATATTTCACTAACTCGTATCTCGCCTTATCGCCTTAAAGGGATATTCAGACAAAATATTTACAAAACTATCAAAATGATCTTATGTACTCAAATCACGCTAAAATGACATTTCTTAAAGTTCCAGCATGAATTTCTGTTAAAAATCTACATATTTTGGGTTTGAAGCATAAATATATCTATTTTATTGAACAAAATTTAGACGCCAATAAAATCACCGAAAATTTTTAAAACAAGTCACGTCACTTGAATAAACCCTTGAAGTAACATTAACAGATATTGTGGATATTGTAGGATTGAAACAAGTCTAAGTCATTCATTTGACATGTTCATTAACGTTTCCAGAGTTCACCGTGACAACTTTTGTGAAATTTAAGTGCTCTAACCTGACCCACGTGGGTCAAGTTAGGAAACCACCATTTTATTCTTTATATGGAGAAAAGTTTTGTTCTTTTGATTGTCTAATGTATTCATTTTGGGGACATTTACAGAATAATGAATGAAAAATCCAAAACTAAGAAACGAAAATTTTGCCTGTGTCTCCCTTTAAATGAATGGCTGTACTTTTGAATATAATAGTAAGCAGCTAAGTTTATGTTGTAACGATATTTGATAGATAACATTATAACAATATCTAATAATTTACGGTTTTGTTGGGATGCTACAGAGCTAATGTGGTTAATTTACCTCTTTCATTTTGTTTCTAGAATGTTCACCTTTTTGCAAATGTAACATTCAAAGCAAATCATATAAATGCTTAATTTTTACAATGAACAATCAATTAATTCGTTAATTATTTAATTATTCAAATATTAAATATGCATATTTTTGTTTTGTTTTCTTTTGGTTCCAGACTTGAGCACGCTTGCAGCCATTAAACGAAATGACTTACCTGAACAAATTTCTCCTTCCACAGGTAAGTGCATTTTTATGGACTCTTGAGGGAGAACTTACCTCACTTTTAACAGTAAATTGTTTTACACTATGAAGACCCCGATCTTTGATAAACCACTCTTAAATAATAAAACAACAATATCTGTTCAAACATTTAGCTTACGCTAGCACAACGTATTCATGTAAAATATTGTGAGCCCCAAACGGCTATCGCGTGAGTCGTCAATAATTACTTAAAGCAACATCTCCTCTATATGGTAGCTTAGTTGTGCCATTCATGTTTTGCCCTGCGATGCGAAAGGTCGAAAATTAACAAGTTAAAATGGCGTCGCAATATATGTCCGAGATGGGATAAACGTTGACTTTCGACAGGATCTCCATATTAACAGGCTTGAAGCAGTTTTGGGTTGAAATTATTATTCACTCCTAAAAACTTCTTGTCGGCGGTATTTATCGACCACCTTGACTCTAACAATGAATACTGGCAACTCCTGGAAGAAAGTGTCGACCGCATTTTCTCTGTACAGACATATGACACAATAGTTGCAGGTAATTAAAATCAATACTCATACATCATCCTCAAATAAGATGACTAGACTTATTGAATCCTATAATGCAGAACAACTTATAACCTCTCCAACGCACTTCACTGAACATTCTTCTTTCCTTGATAGACCTCATTTTTATTAAGTACCACCAAATGGTATCACTAAGCTTTGTAGCGGATCCCTTTATTTCCTGATCTCACACGTTTTCATTGTCCTGTTGTAGCAGTCCTAAAATTAAGTAAACCAAAGCAGAACAAGTAAAACGGTTTCCTGCGGTGAACATTTTAATGATATAAAGATATTTCATTTAACTATTTTCAACATTATTTGAGGGGGGGGGGGGGGGTAAAATAAACGTTTGTATCAGGAATATAGTTGACAATAATCGAGAAGGTCTTTGGAAACTGGTGACCGTTGAAGACCGAAGAATGTCGAACATAAAAAAAATATTTCTTTTTAAGAAAATGATTAAATAGGCCTCCAATTTTATGAATAATTCCGAGCAAAAAAATAAATAAAGTACACACACAAGTTTACGCAGAAAATATCTCTATTTATTATGGCAGATGCCACTACGAATATTTCAACTTTGTGTATTTTCAGTGTAAACAATTTATTGTTTGTAAAATTTGAGATAGGTATTAAAGAAACATTGATAATTTTCAAACACATATTTCAAGTTTGTCTACCTTAAAACGGTAAAATAATTATAGAAAATTAGAAATATCACGCAATAGTTTTTTTGTCTCTCAATTAGGTATAATTCGGACTAATTCCCTACAGGTAAATCCGTAACGTACCGGCAAACGGTATTTTAGCTGGGTTTTCGAAAAGGTCAATTAACCAATCATATACGGTTACAGAGTCACGTGCTTCCCTCCATGAACCCGAAAACAGGTCACGTTGCTCCTCCATTGCCTCAAAAGTTAAAACGCCGTACCAATACCCTGCGGTTTCTCCAGACCGCAGGAAAAATTTCAGAAGACGTTATTGGGCCCTAAAACAAAAAAAGGGGGTTACGGACACTTTCACAGAGATAAACTAAGGGTTTCATCAGAACTTGCAATTCTTCTTTTTCTAATGACAACGGTCGATTGAGTTTCGCGGAAACATTTTTAATTCTAAAACAATTATTTTCATCAAGTAGCATCCTGAAACTATTTCCTAATAGAAGTAAACAATAAGACCGGGGTTTGGACATCCCTTTTGGATGAAATAACAATATACCTGTAAATTTAAATTTCAGAAACGACCAAACCCTTCACAAAAAAGCCAAACAAAACAATACCAATTTTCATTGGTCAAAATTTTAGAACAAATTAGAAACGATGTCACTACACAAATACGAAAATCTAACTTAATGTATCAAAATAACATAATTGAAAAAATCAACTCAAATAATGTAAACCCTAAAGAATGGTACAAATGTAGTAAAAAATTAGCAAAGAAGCAAACCTCAAGTTCAATACCTTCACTAAATTACAACAATATCATTGCATCATCCGATCAAGAGAAGGTAGAAGTTCTAAACGATTTCTTTAGTTCGCAATCAAAGGTAGATGATAAGGATTCAATACCTCCACCCCTTACTGAAACAAACATTCCTACCCTATCAAACATTAACATATCGCAGCAGGATGTGCTTGACTCATTATCCTTAATAGATCCCTCAAAAGCATGTGGCCCAGACCTTGTAAGCCCTAAATTACTACGAGAAGCCGCACCTGTTTTCGCCATTCCACTCGCAGCCTTTTTTAACAAGCTTATTCGTTCTTCTTCCTTTCCTACACCCTGGAAACTTGCTAATGTAACTCCTATTTTTAAAAAATCTGATCCAACACGTCCCGAAAATTACCGCCCTATCTCATTGTTAAGCTGTATCGGAAAATTGATGGAAAGATGTGTTCATAAGTATCTGTATAATCATCTTGTCACTAATAATTTGCTTACTCCTCACCAATCAGGTTTTATAAGAGGTGACTCAACAGTTAATCAATTAGTTTATCTATACAATGATATTTGTCAAGCTCTCGATCAGGGTAAAGAGGTTAGGGCTGTATTTTGTGACATCTCCAAGGCCTTTGATCGAGTATGGCATCAAGGTCGTCTCTACAAACTATCTTCATTGGGTTTAAATGGATCGCTTCTCCAATGGTTCTCCTCTTATTTGTCTTGCAGGCGACAAAGAGTCCAGTGCAGAAATGTATCCTCAGCATGGGTTTCTATCTCCGCAGGTGTCCCTCAAGGTTCAATTCTTGGCCCCCTTTTGTTTCTTGTTTACATCAATGATATCGTAAATGACATATCTTCTTACATAAAACTTTTTGCGGATGACACGAGTTTGTATATAGTCGTAGATAACCCACTTACTGCAGCAACCAGTCTTAACTCAGACTTAGATCGGATACATTCTTGGGCCAATACTTGGCTTGTTTCTTTTAATCCAGAAAAAACAAAAACAATTACTTTTTCAAGGAAATTATCTAAACCGTCTCATCCTTCACTTTGTTATAACTCTATTCCAATATCTCAGGTCACATCATATAAACATTTTGGTGTTACTTTATCTCATGATGCCCGTTGGAAAACCCATATTCATCTATTACTTGATAAGGCCTGGAAAAGAATCGGACTACTCAGAAGTTTTAAATTTCTTTTATCACGAATAAGTTTAGAACGCATGTATTATTCATTCGTCCGCCCACTTCTTGAATATGCTGATGTAGTCTGGGATAACTTAACTGACGAACTAAATAAGGAAATAGAATCCGTTTAAAATGAAGCAGCAAGAATAGTCGCAGGCGCTACCAAACTGTGTAATATTAACAAGCTTATCAGTGAACTTGGGTGGGAATCATTAGAAAATAGAAGAAATAAACATAAATCAATCTTATTGTATAAAATGAAAAATCATATATCACATTCTTATCTTTCAAATCTTCTAACTCCCACCCAACAAAGTACATATAACCTTAGACATATTGACGATTTAACTCCAGTTCCAACCAGAACACTTTTATACTCAAAATCTTTTCTACCATCTACTATTCGCACCTGGAATTCTCTTCCTGAAACTCTTCGATCTAGTCCAACTTTAAACATATTCAAGTCCAAAATAACCCCGAACATCAAAAGACCACCGTCTTACTATAATACAAGCACACGTAAAGATCAAATCCTTCACACAATATTAAGATTAGGATGTAGTTCATTGAATGAGGATCTGTTCAGAAGGTCTATTGTGAAAATTCCAACATGCACATGTGGAATGAGAGAAACTGTATCTCACTTCTTATTGCAATGTACCAAATACAGAAATACTCGCGAAATATTTCTCACTAATTTAAATTGTCCGGCTACAGTAAATAATCTTCTTTACGGCAACGAACATCTCTCTTCTGATGAAAACAAAACCCTCTTTCAGAATGTCCAAAAATTTATTACACAATCTAAGCGCTTTTGTAAGAATTACTATCAGTGTGAATAAACTTTGGTCTTTCCGTACGCTCATATTTCCTTACATGTTAATCTTAATTATTAAACTCCGATATATATATTCAGTCATACCTTTCCTTACATTCTTCTTTTCTTTTAGCATTTCACCATAATTTAGATTTTTCTATAGTGATAATTCAACAATATATTATTCTCTTATTCTTTGTTGTACATTCAAAGAGCTTACATCTAACCGCAACATTTTTGTATCTTTATCTTGAAAATAACTTTTACTGAGAGGGAATTGATATAAGTATTGTTTTACTTGTTTTCCAATCCAGTCTGAATTACATTGTTGTGCAATGTTTGTAAATGTCATTTATGTACAATTTATTGAATAAATAAAGTTTAAACTAAAATGGCGGGATCGCGGGACGAAAACATGCTAATTAGCGAGAGCGCTGGGCGAAGCTTAAGAAATAATACTTTACCCTGCGTGGGCGCGGAGAGAGATTTAACAAATAAAACGGCGGGGCCTAATTAGCGTGTTTTGTCCCGCGTCCCTGCAATTCTTATTTGTAAATAATCAACTTTTCGCATGGCGGGGTCTGGGGACGAAAACAAGCTTTTTTGCAAAGACGCGCGGCGAAGTTTTATTAATTTAACTTCATCCCGCGCACCGCTGTCCCGCCGTTTTATTTCTTGAATCTCGCTCCGCGCCTACGCGGGGTCGAGTTTTGTTCCTTTAACTTCGCCCTGCGCCCTCGCTAATAAGCGTGTTTTCGCTCCGCGCCCACCATTATAACTTGTTAAATTTCCACTTTTCGCTTGGCGGGGTCGCGGGGCAAGAACACGAATGGCACAATTCAGCCACCATACCTCTAAAACCAATGACTGTACAGTAACCAAACTTTACAGCAATGATTATAAGACAGTGCCGTTTCAAAGTTGTACAAATGGTTTTGGTATGTTGAATAGGTTGGTCATGGCCCGGAAAAATTCAAAGAAAACAAATCATCTTGGCTGAAAATTTAAGGCCCTGAACGTTTATAGTTTATATATGTTTATGATATTTGTAAGTCTTCTACCACAGTTTTTGAAATTTTGGTCCTAAAGTCAAAATTGGCCACACTCGGGGTGATATGTTTGATGTACAAGTAAAAACATGCAACATAGTAGATGTTAGATATTTGGCATTTCAAACCAAGAAAATAAATACAAACATCAATGTATTAATTTAAATAAGTAACGCTGTACAAACGTTTAAAGTGCTGTTTATGTGAGGTCACAATGAAGTGCCAAACAGTGCTTGCATAAACGGTCAAAACAAGAACGCAGTTAAAATGTCGCAAACCTGTTATTTTTCTTTTTTATTTTACTATTAATACTCTGTATTTCGCCTGAAAAAAATATAAAGTAAAATAAAATAAAAATGCACACAAATTTCATTATCGTTTTGAAATTCAATATTCTCAAAATATTTCTTCTAACGGTATACTTTCTAACCGCCTTGAACAGCCTTTAAAAGAATATGTCAATTGGAAACCAATTAAACCACCAATTATGTAGTTCAAACATATTTATTCTTGACATGTTTGAATGGAAAGATATCCATTCTGAATGCATTGATGTAAAATAATGCACGGGTTCTTGTTCAAATGCTTTGTGATTTATCACAGTTCAGGCATTTCTGCATTCCTGGTTATATTCCTAAGCAGTTGACTTGCATTTAAACATGGCAAAGTGATGTTTTTATGGCAATATGCCTTGCCAAGGCAACAATTGTCGTAATTTGCAAAAACTATGTTCATGTATTACAAAGATGGTTGGGTAAGCTCTCAATTGATATAATATATTATGTTAATATGTTCAATCAAGCTTTGGAAATAGCTACTCGTGTATACTAACTCTAAATCGGCTAGGAAAATGTCGCCTTTCACTGACCAAATACGGTCCTTTATTAAGAACCGATGTATTCATGATATACAGGCAACCTACATGTTAATGAATTATGTTGTGTTGGAAAAAAAGGTATAGGTCACAAACATATATATTCCGCGTAGGCTGCTGCAGGTCTTGTATATAAGAATAATGAATATAATAAAAAATTACCAGAAAAGACATAAGAAGCAAGGTTTTTAGGCCGCCTTATTGTGAGTACGCGTTCCCATTCCCTACCGTGGATATATATGCCCCATGCTAGCGGCCATAAATACATTGATGATTTACATCAATGATTGGAAAAACGCACGCGGCCAATCATGATGTTTAACTCTTACGCAGGACGTTATTTACAAAGACATGTCTATAAGTTATCCAATATATTTTAGGACGAATGCATATGTCAAGATACAGAAATCTTTAATCAACTTTGCCAGTTTGTGTGCTCTAATAGCCACGTCAATACATATTTTAGAAAATTAGGACAATGCATATAAAATCGGTGTATTTCATAATATTTGATTATATTGTATAAATGTTGACATTAATTACAAGACAACTTTATAAAACATATACCATGTTGTAGGGACATCTTAATACATATGTAAAAGATAAAGGCAATCCGTTTAACCGTGCTAGTGTCCAGGAATACTTAACTGGTAAAAATCACGCGCAGCTCATCACAAACGGTGTTTGTTTTCATAATAAATTCTTACGCATGACGTTTAGTTTCTTTTTTCCATAGAAAGTTATTCACTACATTGTAGGGACTATTGTACATTTCAAGAATCAGAAATTTATCTCATAGTCCAGAAATACACAGATAATTCGGACATTAAATAATATCAATGAAATAAATGCAATTGTTTATTTATTCATTAAGATATCTATGAAACATAGAGATCTGGTGGTAGGGAAACATATATGCATTTAGATAAATAAAAACATTCCTACATATATCTGTTCGTATTACTAGGATAGTGTCCTGATATATATCATTAATAGGGGCAAAGAGGCCCTGCAAATAAAATCAGTGTTTTGATAACACTCAAAATATTAAAATGTTTGGAATATGCAGTTCATTACAAATATATCCTGATTAACATCAAACAAAAGTACTAATACTGGTAGTACAAGCAACGTAGTGTTTTGAACGATGCATATTTTTATTTGCAACATGCCTCTAGTTTCCTCTTACAGTTAAATTTCATGAACATTTTTTGAAAAAATATTTTAAAGTTTAATGTTGTTAAGTGAACAAAGACAATAATTATAACACTTCAAACATCATTCAAAATTAAAGGAAAATAACACAAAAAAATAAAAAAATTTAAGTGACCTTTACTGCGTTAGGCTTGCAAAAGAAACATGGTAATTAGGTCTGCAAAATCAGCCGATTCCTACTAAATAATGACATGTGTCATTGAGTTACAAAAACTTCATCTTTTTTAAAAACATTTTTAAAATTTTCCCAATGTTAATTGTCTTGCAAATGTTTTAATCCATTTCATTTACACAGTAGGACAGACCCCTTATAGCTATTTCATTTGCTAGATGGTCCCGGTGAAATACGTTAATGATTTGCTGGATTCATAGGCTTTTGGTTGAGTCTATGTTCAATGAAGGTCATTCAAGTTGGACATGTAATTAAACTTTCAGATTTTTTTTTCATATTTCAAACGACCCCAATATTTATGTTTTTATTTTATTGTAGGTTTTGGCTTTCTGTATTTTTGTCATGTACGTTGATTCAACATGCAGACAACGATGTAAACTTAGTCTTGAGCAACAAGGATACAAAACGGTAGTTGTTATCCATTTGTTATTATAGTATGATCGGTAAAGTAAATTTTTCATGGAAAATGAAGATATCATAGATATCATGACACCTTATGTACGTCGTCCAAGCAATCTTAGGTTCATAGAACGCAACCTACATAATTGAAAATGAAATGCAATTTTTGTCGCTTAAGAGTAAATGAAATACACATTATAAAGATATACTTGTGCACACATTTGTCGTCACAAATAATTACAGTGACCCTTGTCTAGTTATAATTTGTATGAGAGTTTAAACAAGGGTGTTTTAAAGATTATATGAAGAGTCCAAATTCTCAGTTTCTTTAGCTTGATCGTTAAGTTCCATAGTTTTGGCTAAGAATATTAGAATATCTGTCTCCGTTCCTAAAAGCAATACATCATGGAAATTTGTTGTTGCTTTACTTTTTGTTCCCAGATTTTGCCTTGGTTCCTACACTTCAAGCATCTTACGCAAATAGGCTGAGGCTTGTTCTTAAACCGTTTTAAAGAGATTTTATACTTTATTCTGAACATAAAAACGAACAGGAGCTATGTGGTCAAACCAAGACGATCTCGTTTATCAAATCCTTGATAACCATGATTATTAAAGATAAAAATATCCGCAGCGAAAATTTGGTTAGATAAAATTTCTTGCGCAATGACAAAAATGACTGAATCAGAATTAGAGGAAGAACGACTTAAGTAGTTTTTAATTTTTAAATTTTGGAAGTGTTTTTCTTATAAAATATAATTAATGTTTTGAGATCTTTATGAATGCGTTGATTTTCAAAACTTGCTATTACATGGTCATTCATAAAGACTGAGAATAGACAAAAGATAGATATTTAGCTGGAACAATATTGTTGGTATTCATATTCTTTCAAGCTGAAAATATAATTGTATCTTTTTTTTACTTTATACTCCTAGTGCGTTAAAGCAGGTACAGAATGCAAAAAAGGCCCTAGCGGAAAAGAAAGATGTTACGAAAAGCAGCCAGGTACGATATGTTTTAATATTTATCTCCGTTAAAGGCCTTTCTAATGTCTGTGTATACAAAAGGCATTTCAAGTATAAGGCTTTTTTTGAAAACAATACACACTCATGTTATCATTTGTACCAAAACTTTTCATAATCATTTAATAGATTATAGGGATATATGAACCGATACTTAATGATTTTAGCCGATTTCATTCAGGGTCAAACGATGTGATTTCAATTCGGCATTTGTATAATAAACTTTTCAATTTTCCACATCTGTATTCTTTTTTACTAAAAAAACCTAATAAGTGGCCTATTATTTTATGTATATTTTCTCATTGTAATTAATTTAGTGGAAAACCGTAAAACATACGAACAACAATATTTTTAATAGCTAAAGTTGGTGTATAAATGTTATCATTTTATGATTTTATGTGGATAACTGATTTATCTGTAACAATTACAAATCGGAAATGCCACAGTGAACTATATCAAAATACTATTTCACATTTTTAAATGACAACACTACTTTTTTAGATGTCCCCGATGTGAAACCTTACTTATTTTTAGCTTACAATTCAGACATTGTCAGAGCTGCTAAGAAACTAAGAAAAACTTGAGAAACAACTAAGCTGAAATTGATAAATAACTTAAATGTCAAATATAATAACTTCAATCCATTCAGTTAAAAAATCAACGAATATCCTCTCTTCTTTTTTTCGTTTTGACAGTTGGCAAATTCCCTTTCACAGTTTTGCAAAACTACTCATCTAAAATGGCCATATGCTTCTCAAATGTTACTTTTTCGCGACTCTGACGAATCTCACGCTGGACCGTGGTGTCAAGATTTCCTTATCATTAATATTTTCCTTTATCTATATAAACTTTTCAACAGTTTAATCTTGTTTGATAATTTCATGTTTGTGTACTCTACAGATAAGTACATTATGGCTGTACGCTTGAGCGGCTTTTGGCATTTGGCTTTTATGCTGAACAACATAAAACCATTAACTTATTGTAAACATGTGTCATTTACATTTTAAATGTGTACCTAAGATAACAGCCAAGGCGACAGTCTGGTTATTTACACAAGTTTAACTGTTATTTTTATAAAGTTGTTCCAGCTTCAAAAAATCCAGAAGATGTAATAAAGTCGGCCACGTTCAAAGTTTCTTCTCAGGCAAACGATATCGTGAAACCATCCAACATTTTTGATGGTGACATGGATACTCTTTGGGTGAGCGAATTTGACAAAGAAGAGAAACCTTATATCGAGATCACCTTTGCGGCAGAATATGTGATCGATTTATATATCATTAAAGGAGTAAACTTTAATAGAGGTAAACATCATTTATAAATTTTGGCCGGTTGCTGATTTAACTTACACACAAAATAATTAAATAAGCAAACTATGTTTTTTCATACAATGGTGACTCTTTGGGTGAGCCAAATTGACGAAGATAAACCTTTTATCGAGATCATCTTTGCGAAAGAATATGTGATCGATTTATATATCATTAAAGGATTAAACTACAATGCAGGTAAACATCATCGTATAAAATGTGGCCGGTTGCTGATTTAATTTACACACAAAATAAGAAAACTATATTTTTTTTCATAAAACAGTTAACTACTTGCAGCAGATCAAACTGATAATTGTAAAGATTAATACCATCAGTGTCAGTATGAATTGCAAAAGGGTCAAAAGCATCATATTCTGTTGTTATGATGATACTCAGTAATAGAATCAGCTTCAGGTTATGGGTTATTAACAGAAACATGATTAAAAATGTCTATCACATCTAGACAACGTGTCGGGTCCAAGACAAATACCTTATCTCCAAGTTGTTCAAATCACACGTATGAGTTGTGGGTACTCAACTTAACGTTTTCGTTTATTGAAAGATTTGTAATACTGTAGCACAAGTGTCCACCAAATCCGGGCTATATGTAGCGACTAAGGCCCATATCACTACATAAAAGGTCAAGGTCACACTAAGAGATTAAAGGTGATATACACATATGTGTCAAAACTGTATAATTTCCATTCATTTAAGGATTTATAAATAACTTGGCACAAACGTCAAGCAAGCACATTATGGTGATATGTTTCAATTTTACCAGAAGAGTTTGAAGCTGATTCACTGTCATACATTGAAGGATTATATAATAACTTGGAATCAGTGTTTTCCATATCAAGATATCTCGTCGCATCCAAAACCTGTGTCCTAAGGGGGACAGGTTGCCTTAAATAGCACTTCATTTCCACATAACACTATTGATCATTAGAAGCAGTGTCTTGTTTATAATAAGCCCGTACGGTCATATTGTCATTTAGAAAAACCAAATTAAAAGTTACAAAAGTTACAACAGAACCAGCATGTTTATAAGGTACAAAATAATCGCTAACAACATGATTATAAACAGCATTATTATCACTCACAGCAACATAATGAATAAGGTATTTACCAATATCATTAGAATTATTATTATTTAACAAGAAGAAAAATATTTTAAATTTAATTTAAAACAATTGAGATTGTATGTGATGTTATATTATAGATCATTTGTTCAAAGACAAGTAAGTATTCCTTCTTTTTACAGATGCTTACAAACTTACCCATTTTGAATTGTCAGTGGACGACATAATGTTACCGGAATCTTCATATACATACAACAGTGAATCTAACATTGTCACAGTTTACTGGAAGTGAAAAAAACGTGAAGAAGATAAAGTTAATGCGTTTCAAGCCACCAAATTTTTCTGGCGTATGGGGTTCTTA